TACTAAATAAATATGAACAAACTTTTATAATCAGTGACTGTGGAAAAAAATTGAAATATGTATGAACTGACATTACAAATACACTAGTTCACTGAACTAGCATAAATAGAAATTTAATATTCATCCATTACATGATTTTTAAGATAAATAATATCTGATTACACATTAAAAAGAAAACAAAGAGTAATAATAAATGAAAGAATTCACATAACGAAGCAATTCAAATCAATAGTCTAAAAAAGGGAGGCTTATTTCATATCTAAATACCATGATAATTTGTAATTTCACTGCCTCTATTGCTTCTTTTACACTAAAGATTCAGTCAATCATGGCTGATTGTTGTGACCTGAATGTGACTTCACCAAAGCCACCATGAATGTTGTCTACGAAATGTCTAATTTGGTTAAATAACTACTCTGATTACACATATATGCCCGCTGTTCTAAATAATATTTGAATTATGAAAGATGTCAGGAGCATGCGCTTGTGCTTTTAAAAAAAACTCCCACACGTAAATGAGCAAGTGTTTTATATTCATTTTATATTTGGACCGACTGATTAGCCCACGCAAATCCGGTGCAGGAACATCACAGACTGTGCTTTCTTGTTGGCTCACCGACAGACAGGAATTTACCTTGACAAGGTAAATTAAAAAACTAATGCTAACTAAAGTAAGCCATTTATGGAGGCTCTCTTTGCTCGAGCCTATGCAGGACATAGGGGATGTTTGGGAAACATGTTTGCCAAGGAAAGCATGACTATTACCATTGCTCACACACATTACTAAGTGTTAATATTTGGTGAGCAACTAATGGTTTTGGAGTAAAAACAGGACAGATCTCAGGGCTTCTTCCTCAGTTTATAGGTCATACAGTATGCACTTGGCATATCGCCACCTACTGGACTGATCTCTTTAAACCCTTTCCCTTGCCAAATTTGAAAAAGGTAGCCTTTTTTAGTAGCCAATCGGCTTTACTTTATAGTCAATGGCAGCAGGAATATAGTCGGAATTGACAGGGCCATTCTCGGTCAAAAGAGCGTTTGACTGGACAAAAATCTGTAAAGTGTAGGATGAGTTAAAAATATTTTAGTCTGCCTCCTGAAGAGAAGGATATGATTTATAAAATGCAGATATCTGCTAAAAGTGTCAATGATTAGAAGTACACTAGCATATAAATGGTCATAAACATAACATACTTGTCACAAAACGTTTTGATAAAGACCAAGATCTTAAAGCTACACTGTGTGATTTTTACCCCCATCTAGCGGTGAAAAGGTATATGACCATCCAGCGAATATTAGTTTCTGGTCCGTTTTAACTCCTACGGTGGCCAATGTAGTCCAAGATTAACATGGCTTCCAGTTCGACCTCGTCCATGAGGGTCAACTCAAACGTAAACGCGAAAGGCGAAGCTTGAATTAACAGGTATGTCCCTCTTTGGCTAATGTACTTTTCAAGATGGAGGGGCAACATGGCGACCAACATTAGAACCCCTTACCCGTATGTATTTTCAATGGCATATCATACACTCATGAGAATACTTTATTACTTGAACAAAGTAAATATACATTAATGAGCACATATATTTTTGAAAGAACTAAGTGTTTTTAGCAAGAGTTACACAGTGTAGTTTTAAAACAACTCTGAAATCACACAGAATACATCCTTTATAAGCAGAGGAATTCTCGTTAATGGTATAAGCACATTAATAAAGATAGACAGTACATTGAGGCCCTGATTCAGCAGACAGTTTAGAGAAATCCACTTCCTCACATGATTTTCAACTTTTCTCCTTTCTTCACGCCATATCTTTCACACATTCTAATGCTAACTACAGAAAGGGTGCTGCTGTTTGATTTTAATCTTTTGCTGTGACGGTCTAATTTTCTGTAAAAAGGAGATGAAATAGATCACAATATTCCCATCATGTGAGACTAAAGGAAACAACATCTAGCACCTGATAAGATCTGACCCCTCCATACACCTTCACAAGTGGGCGACACCTCAGAAATCACACCTCCTACTGGTTTTCTCAGTACACTGACTGCACTCACAGAGAGAGCTCAATGTCAACCCAAAAACTTCTGCAAGCTGCGGCTTTTCTCTGAGGACTATAAAGTGGCAATTACACAACCACATCCTCTTTCACTTTTTACATTCGTCGGATAACTCGATGTGTATGTGTTAATACATTTTGGATAGTTCATCTCAAAATAAAAAAAGCTTGACATCATATAGTCTAAATCCTGTATGACTTCAGTGGAACACATCTGTAGAAGTTTGGAAAAATATTCTGCGATATACACAAACGTTCAAAAGTTTGGGTGATGCTGAAAATGTAGCTTTGCATTTGAGAAATCAAATTTTCCTTGAGCTTTTGACATCTAAGAGGACATCATATTACAAGAATATCCTGTAAGTTTCAAAACTGAAAACGTCTTTGTTAGTCCAATAAAAGCTTTTATTGACACCAGCCTCTGCAAACGACTCGTTTTTCAAAGAGGGAAAATATGACGTCAAAGAGGATAAAACACGCAGAAGAAGATCAACGACCGGTTTAGCCCCGCCCACCGATTCTCGCATTACACGCATAGCTAAATAACATAGGCCTACCTCGTGATGACAAACCGGATCGAGCTACTGAGCGAGCAATACAGAATATTGTGCAGTGCCTGGTTGTGGAAGAAGACGGTCGCTGCATAAGCTTCCTCTGGATTCCAGTAGGACTGCATGGATAAACTTTATTTTTAATGACGTTCCAGCTGATGAGGTAAAACATTGCCCATCTGTTCGCTTCATTTCACTGAGGATTGTTTTGTAAACAAGACTGGATTTGCAGACCGATTAAGAGTAAAGAACGGTGCTGTGCCATCTATATTGGATCTGATAGGAATTGTGCAACACACGGACTCTTGGTCGAACATGTAAGGCGAATCATTCAGGTTGCCATTGTACAACATTGGATGTTTTCAAAACAATTTCCCCCCCAAGTGCCTCGACGGGTGAGTTGAAACTCATTATAATATGCAAAACTGTTATCCACTTACAGCAGTGGGCGTTTTCTTCCAAGTCTTCAGTGCGAGACGCTCATAAAAACCAAAGCGTTTTTCAGCTAGGCTCAAAACTAGGGTACGAAATAGACTATTACTTATTCATTTTGATGTTTTTGAATGCAAAAACCAAGCGAACGTCATAAGTTGACCTCAGACAACAACATAATAAAATTTAAAAAGCCAGTTCGTGACCCTTTAAGGTGCTTATTTATCATTTTAACGGCATCATACAAAAATGAGCAGCATGAATATTCTACCATTTCCTTTTTGCTTTTCACAGAAGAGAAAGTCATATGGGTTTGGAATGATGAGGATGAGCAAATAATGACATGATTTTAAACTAATCCTTTAAAAGTACTGCATTATGATGACAATGGGTTTGATTGACAGACTGCTTAACTGCTCATACATCACTGTTCCAGGCTTTAGATTTGTTTTTTTAATCTTTGATCAGTGATCTCTCTCTTTTTTTTTTTTTAAACAGATCAATAGTATTTTCCTTTTGGTATGCATCAATCATACTCAAATTAGCAGTCTGATCGCTGTGGATGAAGACCAAAAGGAGTGCTTTTTCATCTTCAAACCAAAAAAAGAAACACCAAACTTAAGAGGATACTTCACCTCTGGAAAGATGAATGTGTATTTAAAATGGGTCATTTATGTGGAAGTAATGTGAAATAATTTTCAGACTGAGAAAAGCCAGAAAATTATTTTTGGCTTATGTGGATGAAAGACAACTACTCCCAGAATGCACTTGCTCCGCTGCCCTAGGAGGCCACGCCTACCGGTAACAGCGCAGTAGTTAAACAACAAGTCTAGGCTACTAAGTCTCCATGTTTACTGTGGCGAGAGGGACGAGTGAGTGCCGCGCAAGGCCCTTTCCAAAAAAGATGGCGGACACTATGTGTAATTCCAATCCTCTATAATGCATCCGTCTGTGAATTCAGTACCTTTGTCCTTATTTTCAAAAAGGGCGGAAGCAAAAATGGTAATTAGAGTATTTCTCTCAGGGGAAAATGAGAATGTTGCAGGACCATTCAATAGTATGACTGGGTTTCTAACAATGGAAAGCTTAATGCAAATGGGTGGAGTGTCCCTTTAAGAACTTAAATTCAAGTATGCCAACCTGTCCAGAGCATATCGAACTGTCCAAAACACAACACAATGACTATCTGCAACAAAAACCTGATATGTCCATTAAAGTTGTTTGCTTATCTACAAATCACCCTGTTCAAAAATTCACCTAAAGGCCGACAAGAAATCTCGCAAAATCTCTCGCGGTCAAACGTGACTCTAGAGTAAACAAACAGAATATTTTCACAGAATATTCACAGAAAAAATAATAATAAAAAGGTCTGGCTTAAGTCGTGTTATGCTTCCTTCTCCAGTCAGCTCACTTTCTGATTAGGTATCGTTTCGTTCAATGAGACAATCTACGCGCGTGTTTGTCCTCGGGGGATCCCTGGTGTGGCCCTGATGTCCTTCCAAGCAGATTCAATCACTCTTAACACATCACACCACTCATATATCTGATAAGATAATCTGTAGAACCATCAAGATAATCAGGACCTTAGCTAGGATTGTCTGAAGGGGAGAAATCGATCTAAAATCGGCCCAATTAGTGTTTGGGTGCCTTGAATCTCTTTTTAATTGAAAAATCGGACTCACACACGCTAGTGTTGAGCAGGTAATGGAAGTGGGCGAAGGATCTTTCATTGAAATGGCAAGTAGTATAAGAAAACACATGAGTCTTGACATGTCTGGACATACCACACATATAACGCAAGAGCTGCTGCACTAACAGGTAAGTGCAGATCTTTGAGAGAAAACACTGAGGCAAACAGCTGAGAGAAAAGCTAAACATCTTTTTGAGACTAAACAGGCTATATCTACCTATACCACGCTCTATATCAACTTACATAGCACAACAATAAATCATTATTTACCTTATATACTTGTCCGTAGGTCCCATTACCCACAAGCTCCACCAGCTCAAAAATGCCCGCAGGGTCCTGAGGGGGAAAATAAGAGAAGAGGAGATTAGCTTGCATTATCCTGTCATTGAGCATCAAGGACAATCGCACATTATGTAGACTGAGATCATCATAAATGCTGATACTGCAGTCAATAGACCTAACAAAGTGTGCCAATTACAGTTAAATATCTGTTTACACACTGAACATAAAACGTATTAGGTATCAAGTGAGCTAAAGCCAGAAAACAAATATTGAAACAAGTTCTGAGGCGAAAATTTCCTGAAAAACCAAAAACTTAATTTCTGTTTTCACATCTCAAAGCACATAATGTTCTCAATTACCTATAATGCATGGAAATTCTGCCTTATTGGTGGTTATGTCGGCAATCATGACTGACTTTGAAATTATTCAAGATCTTTTAAGCACAAGAACCAATAATATCTACCTGACTGTGCCGTTTCTATTTAAAAGTGATGGCAAAACACATTATGCAGTGGTGGGAATATAAAAAGCCAACACGACTGAAATCAAATCACTCTTGCGTGTCATTTTCATTTAATAACACTAAGGCAGTTCTCAAAGCTGTCAAGAGTTCAATTCAGCTCCAACAAGCATGATGCTCATGAAAATAAGCACAACCAATAAATAATGCAATACACCTAGAACAATAAGCAAGACATCTTGCCATGGTAATCTGACAATACCTGCCATTCATGACACCAGAGGAGTAATTTATGAAATATGGTTCAGTGAATTCACAAATACACAGAACAGCTTAAAACGAAGTTAAGGGACAAAGCTGGTGGAAAATTGAGCATGAATTCAGGTTCATTTAAATGGATGCAAGTTTATTTTGATAAAGTTACTGAATGGGATATTCAGAAAGGACAAGCTGTAACAAAAATACAAATGTTTTTTGGATACTACGATAACTCTTGAAGCAGGGCCGTAATAGACAAAAGGTCCATTTATCACCCCTTGGGGTGTCATAAAGACACACTTGACCAATGAGAATCTTAGTGAGGCGGTGCCAATGTATTTTGGGAAACGCAATTCATTCGTTCGTTTGTTCTTTTATTTATGTAAGAAATAAGCCATGGGAGGCTGTGATGTATCATGAATAAGTAACGGCTGAAGGGCGTTGCTAGGTATGACGTGAAACGGAGTGCCTGCAACCCCTTCAGCCGTTACTTATTCACGATACAATTGCCTCGAGTACCTTATTGATTTTATAAAACGGTTACCACACAATAAAAACAAAGTAAAAAAATATGTTTTAGTGCAACTTTCATGAAGTAAAATCACTAATGGCCTTCCTTCCACTAGAAAAAATAGTCCCTGACCGTGAACAGCAACAACGCTCCAATGTGTAATATGCATGAAAGCTCAAATAAAAACAACATAGGAACCGCAGTGTTGCGCAGTGATAAATAGAACTGTTGGGTGAAGCGTTCATAGCCACGTTTTATCATGAATAAAGCACAGCTATTGACCAATTAGAATCAAGGATTGGAACTAACCGTTTTATAATTATTTAAATAGCACCTTACAGGCTACCGCCATAGTTCCAAAGGGCCGTACATTGTAAATTTGTAACAAAAAGCAACAGAACTATAAGAAAAAACACAAAAACAGCCAGAGTACAGATACAATTTTTAGCGGCCCTTAAAAACAAGAACAAGAGTCAATGCAAATCTAACATCGAAATGGCCAGCGATAGAGAAAGCATTCACTGTATTCGGACTAACTGTCAAACATTTCATCAGAGATTTCTCCTGTAAGTACTATAAATGTCATGGTAAATGAATAGGAGTCATGTTACACAGTATCACAGTATGTATCAAATGTGCAATTTGATCACCTGCTGATCAAATGGTATTCCAGTAAAAATAAATATCTAATTGGTCATATTATACAACAAGATAAAAGTCAAGAAATTTTCAGATAATATTTAATGAATTAAGTTTAATTTCCTATTCAATCGGCAAATAAACCTTAATGTTGTTGAATTTATTAAAATGAGAAAAAAAATGCTATTAGGTATAAATAAATGTCAACATACTACCAATTTAAAGTTTGGTAAATATAAGATTGTATAATTGTAATATTTCTAGTTAAAATGTTATTTATTCCTGTGATTTCCCAGTTGAATTTTCAACATCATTACTCCAGTCTTCAGAGTAATGTGTTACACATGATTCGACATGATCCTTCATTCGATCTTTACATTTTTGAGAAAACAGATGATTCTGATCCATGATTCTGTAATGAAAGTTCAACAGAAAAGCATTTCTTATAAAACAGTCTTCTTAAAAGTGTCTTTACTTTCACTTTTGATGAATAAAGTCATTCATTTTTTTTAAATAAATAAATAAACCTTTCTGACGCCAGATTTTTAGTTGAGTTTTTTGGGATATTTTAACTGGAAAACAAGCCACAATCTTGATTAAGAAAATGATGCAGCCTTATACCAATGCTGTACTTTTTGTACCACTTCTTTTCCACATATAAAGACTAAAGAATCAAAAGACTCAATACGACAGGTGCATTATGAATTGCAGCCAGAATGAAGTACGCTGCCTTGAAATGCTCTGAAATAAACATGAATTTACGGTGAATTAAAGGCATGCGGGTGCAGGCTAAAAGTGGAATGACTCGGTAGGCATCCGTTATAGTCAGCAGCTCAGATTCTTTAAAAACCAAGCGTGACTTCTAACACCTAGCCACAGAGTCAGCGTGGGAAGAATGAATTCAGCACAACCCTCAACCCTTGGACAGAGACCTCACACTCGACGTCACAGCTCCTGGTTGCGAACGGAAACCTCACTAGCTCTGAAACATGACAGAACACAGGCTTTCCAAAATGACACACCTGCACCATCAATGTACCTTCTTTACTTTTAAAACAATAATAAACACTCACATTTCCATCTCCCTTGAATCTTTGTCAGTGCATGTGCCTGGACTTGCATGGTACTCGTTCCAGACCACAAACATACAAAGCGATGTATAATTCACACACTGGTGAGAGAGTATATGCTCACCATCTATTTTGGGAATGTTGTGAGATAATTTCCCTCTTGAACAGAATGTTTTGCCTCCAAAACACAATTCCTACAGATGGACAGCCATGAGGAAGAAACTGCTGACCAAAATGAGACGACCACATTCTGCTTACGGATGTAAAGATGGAAGAAGTGGCGCATGTTTCTCCGGGCATTCAGCAGTTTTAAATGATACACCATTACTTCTGCCAAACTGCAATTCAACTATTACAGGGAAATAACACAATGAGTCAGACTGTTTTTTCAAGAAGCGAGTTCACATTTCTCATGGAAACGACACCTCGGGCGTCAGGCTAACATTGACGGAGCACGGTGCAAATTTAGCGCCCGGTTTATTTGTTCCCCCATTCATTTTCTCTATAGGGATTTCAACCAGGGAGTTCTGAGATGATTGACAACAAAAAAAGTATTTGAAAATATTTGCAATTTTCAAATACTTTTTTTGTTATGAATCATCTCAGAACTACCTAGTTGAAATCCCTATAGAGAAAATATAGGGCTTGGCCCATGCAATGAAGGAGTGCAGTCTTTTGGTCCATACTTAACGTGAATTACTCAAGTCAGCCATAGTTTTTTCATAAATTGTCTTTAAGTCAGTAGGGCTGTGAAACGATTAATGGTTTAATCGCATTATCGATTAATCGCATCCAAAATAAAAGTTCGTGTTTGTGTGTGTATTGTGTATAATTATTTTGCATATATAAATACACACATATGCATGTATATATTTAATAAAGATTTGTTATTAATGTATCAAATATTTATATTTACATATAATATTAATTTTGTGTAAATATATATATAAAGTATACATGCAAATATTTCTTAAATATGTGTGTAGTATGTGTAATTATTTTGTAAATATAAATACACACACATGCATGTATATATTTAAGAAATATTTGCATGTATACACTTTTTATATATTTATTTAATTTATAAAATAAATAAATAATAAATATATATATATATAATAAATTTACAAATAAAATTAATATTATACACATAAATATTGGATATATTAATAACACATTTTTCTTAAATATATACATGCATATGTATTTATATATACAATATAATTATACACACTACACACACATATATTATGTAAACACAAACTTTTATTTGGGATGCGATTTATCGTTTCACAGCCGTAATGGGCTTTGTATGAACGCAATGAAAGACATTTTTCACAGTCATACACAAATAAATACAGCAAAATGACTGTTAGTAACTGCTAGTAAACCGTGAGCCGTCGTAAAAACTAATCTGAGCTCTCCAATGCAGATATTCCATTGAAACAAACCCCTATAGTGTAGAGCCATGTGACCGTGCTGTTTGTATTAGAACTCAAAGCCGTCTTCAAAGGATCTTCTGAAAGATCATTGGAGACTAGAGCATGTTTAGACATGCCATGCTGAATGACAGCACTGCAAAGCAAAGAACAGAAGGCCTGGTAAACAATGTACCAGAGAAGGGAAGTTGAACCCGTTGACCGGGGCAATACAGTAATGCAACACTAGTAATTACATTTCTTGTTAATCCCCCACTCAATTAATCACCAGCTATAAGAAACGCTAAGCATAAGGGGATGGTTCACCCAAAACAGAAAATTCAGTCATGTACTAACTCTACTCACCACCATGTCTTTCCAAACCCGTATTCCATTCTTCTTTTCCCGCAAAACAAAAAACAAGCTTGTTCCATTTAATAAAAGATCAGGGCTCAAAAAAAGACCATAATTGGCAATGCGCTAGAAGCAGCCATGCCCTATTTTCTCAGATTTCTGGAGTCAAGCAAAAGCTTGTGAGAAGAACAAAGTGAAATTTCATGTCATCATTCAATAAAAATGTCCCTTTCCAATATAACGTCAATGATGCCACAAGCCATCGGTTTGCGAATGTCACTCAACTGAAGCGAAACTATCTTTTGGCTTCAGATGATTTGGATTTAAGTAATAAAGTCAATTTT